CACGGAGCCTGGCATGGGCAGAGGCAGCAGGATGCGACCGCAGGAGGCAGGACCCATGAAGGCAAAGAGGCTCCTGCATTGACTTTCTCAGCAGGCTGCAATGGGGCTCTTTGCTGGGCCCAGGTCCAATCCGGCTCATGGTCCAGAGCCCGGGTGCCAGCTGGGACCTGCTGAGCACCCTCTCGTCCACCCCTCAGGGCTGCTGAGCGCCTACCCCATGTTCGGCTCCTCCTTCTTCTACATCCAGAGCTGCAGCAACAACGCCATCGTCTCGCCCTGCATCCTGGCCGTCAACCAGAACGGCCTCAACTTCCTCAGCAAGGAGACCCACGTAGGTGTGGGGCAGGGGGTGTGTGCGGGGTGGCCATAGGGACCACCCCGATGGGGACATCCCCCACGCACCCTGCCCTCCCCCAGACTCGGTCCGTGTGGAATGCACCTGGGAACGTGCAATGCACCCGGGAATGCGCAATGCACTCGGCAACGTGCAGTGCATCTGGGAATGTGCAATGCATCCAGGAATGTGCAATGGACCTGGCACTATGCAATGCACTCAGGAATGTGCAATTCACCCGGCAACGTGCAATGCATCTGGGAATGTGCAATGCACCAGGAATGTGCAATTCAGCCGGCAACGTGCAGTGCACCTTGGAATGTGCAATGCATCCAGGAATCTGCAATGCACCTGGCACCGTGCAATGCACTCAGGAATGTGCAATTCACCCGGCAACGTGCAATGCATCTGGGAATGTGCAATGCACCAGGAATGTGCAATTCAGCCGGCAACGTGCAGTGCACCTTGGAATGTGCAATGCATCCAGGAATGTGCAATGCACCCAGGAATGTGCAATTCACCCAGCAACGTGCAGTGCAGCTGCATGGGGGATTCTCCCTCTCCCAACTCCATAGTTTTCCCAGATTCGGTCCCAGCATGCCAGAGAGCTCTGCCCCCCCATCTGGGCACAACACTGCTGCTGTATACACCCACTTTACTCCCTCACCCCTCCTGCGGGATGTCGGGGGTCCCTGTGGGTCTGGAGGTGCCACCGTGCCCACCTCCCCGCCAGGAGCCCGTGGCCAAGTTCTCCCTGAAGGAGATCCAGTCGACGCGGACGCAGCGGCCGGCGGGCGGCTCCAGCTCCCCGTACGTGGAGATCGCGTTGGGCGACCTGCTCTCGCAGGGCATCACCCAGCTGCAGCTCGAGCCGGTAGGGCCGAGGGCGCCGC